GGGGGGAGGGGGGGGTTCCTGACCGCGTGCCCTCGCCCCGTTGCCTGAAGGGAGTCACCCACGGCGCTACGTTCACGTCCTCTGCTCGCGCGCGCTTTTACACAACGGGTGAACAGACTCGGGGTTATATAAAGCTGTGGTGGGGGGGGGGGAGGTCCCGCGTGTGTCAGTAATGAGGTTAGCAATGTTGATATTAATAGCAATAATGATTATATAAATAATGAGGATAATAATGATAATACTAATATTACTGATCATAATGATAATGATGAAGATGATGATAATAAAATCACTAATAGTAATATTGCTACTACTACTACTACTAATGATAATAACAATAGTAAAAGTAATGATAATGACAACGATAATGATAGCAATATTAATGTTAATAATAATGACAACGATGATGATGATCATAATATATGATTGTAATTATAACAAGGACTAGGGACATAATAATAATGATAGTAATAATAAATGATACCATCATCACTGTTCCCATCATTTTTATAATCATTATTGCTACTATGATTATCATCATCCCGTTCCTTCTTCTTTTCCTCCTCCGTCGTCTATCATCATAATCATTATTATAATATCAAAGGAAATGCTGCACTGGGAAGAATTCTTGCACCTCGCTCAATGCTTGCCGTCACATTGTGATTGTGGAGCCTGTTATTCTTTTCAGTTCATGACGCTGGATGCCTCTCTCTCTCTCTCTCTCTCTCTCTCTCTCTCTCTCTCTCTCTCTCTCTCTCTCTCTCTCTCTCTCTCTCTCTCTCTCTCTCTCTCTCTCTATGTGTGTGTGTGTGTGTGTGTGTCTATATGTGCGTGTCAGTATCAATAACAACTGTAACCTTGTGAAGAAAATTTCCCACTCTAATTTCGTTTTTTAAATTTATTTATTCCATCACTAGAAATAAATAAATAAATGCAGAGAACCCCCCCAAAAAAAAAAAAAAAAAAAAAAAACTCTCTGTAAGATAGAAAAAGCGAGGAGGTGGATAGACATGCAAAATAAAACTAATTTACGGTTCAAAAGAGCTTCAGAAGAGCTTGGCTCAGCTTTCCCTCACGGCTGTTCCAAGGCTATGCAGGGAGGGGAGGGGGAGAGGTTAGAGGATGGTCGGGAGGTCGGGAGGAGAGGCCGGGGGAGGGGGAGGGGAGCCGGGGGAGGGGTTGGCGGATGGGGGGGGGAGGTGGGAAGGGGAGGGTGGCCGGATGGGAGGGAGTAGATGGAGGGGGTAGGGGCGGACGGATGGGGAGGGAGTGGACAGAGGGGGGAAAGGGGTGGACGGAGTGGGGTATAACGGGTGGCCGGAAGGGGGTATAGGGGGTGGTCGGGGTGTGTGTGTGTGGCTGGGGGGGAAGGGGGAGGACGGAGGAGGGGAGAGTGAGACGAAGGAAGGGAGGGGGGGGGGGACGGAGCGGGAATGGGTGGATGGGGGGGAGTGGGGGCGAGGGAGGGGAGGGGATGTGACCTCCTCTCTCCTTCCTTATTTGTGTCTCTCTTTCGTCGCTTTTCTTTTAGTTCCTTTTTATCATTTCAAATTTCCGTTTTCGCGTTTTCCATATTCTTAAGAGAAAAGAATAAGAACGTGAGAAGAGGATGAGGATAATTGGAAGAAAGAGGAGGGTCAGGGTTAGAGGGAGATAGAAGAAGAGAAGGAGAGGGGAGTGGAGGAGAACGAGATAAGAGAGTAGGAATAGAGGGAACGGGAAGAGAAGCACCGAGGGAAAAGGAGAATAAGCAAAACGAAAGAATAAACTGGGAGAATAAAAGGGGGGAAAGGTCAGGAGAAGAAACAAAGAAAGAGGCAAGAGAAGAAGAAGACGTGGAGGAAGAGAAGAAGAGGAGGCAAACGGGCATGCCACCCCCCCCCCTCTCCCCCTGAAGGACTGCCTGCCTGTTACATCATCCACATGTGGTTTGGCGACCCGGGGAGCGGAGGGCCTGACCTCTCCCTCCCTCTCTCCCTCATTTCTCTCCCCCCTCTCTCTCTCTCTCACTTTCTCTTCCTGCCTCTCTCTCTCTATCTCACTTTCCCCTCCTGTTTTAATCTCTATTTTAAGATCCTCTTTATTCTTGCCATATCTCTCTCGCTCTCGTTTTTTTTTTCTCTCTCTCTTTCTCCGCTTTTCTTTTGTCTCTTCTTTCGTACTTTCACCTCCCTTCTTTCCTCCTTCTCCCTACCTGTCACCCCCCCATTGATCTTCCCCGTATACAGAAGTAAACAAACGTGACGAGTCATTAAGTCCGTAACTGTGACAGTGTGCCAGCGAGGTCGTCCGCTGTTACCTGCTTTGTGTGGGCGCGACTGCACAAAGGAGGAGTGGAGAGGAAGGAGGATAAAGGTGGAGAGAGGTTGATGGATATAGAGGATGAAGGTAGACGGATGGATACATATGTGCACACACACACACACACACCGCGCGCGCACACACATACACACACACATGCAAACACGCACACACACACACACACACACACACACACACACACACACACACACACACACACACACACACACACACACACACACACACACACGCACACACACGCACACACACACGCACACACACACACATACACACATGCACACACCACACACGCGCACCACACACACATATATACATATATGCATATATAAATACATAAATACATACATACATATATGCATATACACACACACATATATATACATAGAGAGAGAGAGAGAGAGAGAGAGAGAGAGAGAGAGAGAGAGAGAGAGAGAGAGAGAGAGAGAGAGAGAGAGAGAGAGAGAGAGAGAGAGAGAGAGAGAGAGAGAGAGAAATGCAAATAGCGAAGTGGAAGGAGAGACTATTAGCGTCAGCACCAACTGAACACCTTGGGAGACTCCCTGTTGTCTACAGAATGTCTTCAGGTATTTACACTTTTTTTGCCTTGTCATCGATACCCAAGGTTTTGCGTGTTTCTCGGGATCGCTATTTAAGTGATTTCTAATGTGTTATAGTTTTATTTCTCTTATCTTTTTTTTTTGTTCCTGTCGCTAGATAGAGAAAGAGACGGAGAGATAGAGAGATAAAGATAGAGAGATAGACAGACAGGTAGAATGAGATATATATACAGACAGACAGACAGATAGATAGACAGATAGATAGACAGACAGATAGATAGATATAGATAGATAGATAGATAGATAGAGATAGATAGATAGACAGACAGATAGATAGGATAGATAGATAGATAGACAGGCAGATAGATAGAATATATATATATAGATAGATAGAAAGATAGATAGATAGATAGATAGAGATAGATAGATATAGAGAAAGGGAGCTTCGCGCCCGGCTCTTGTCAACGGTTCTTCGCGAAGTTCGCTCCTGTGAGTCACCAGTCCCTGCACTGACCCGACCTGAGTCATCGCTCACTTGTTTTACGTATTCTTGAAATGTTTCTTAGTTCTATTCTCGAGAGAAGGGGAAGGAGAGAGGAAGAATGACGAAAGGAAAGGAAAAATATGATATAAAGAAAAGATATATGAAGAAAAGGCAATAGAAATTATAAGAATATTAATAATAATGATGATGATGGTGGTGGTGGTGGTGGTGGTGGTGGTGGTGGTGGTGGTGATGATGATGATGATGATGATGATGATGATGATGATGATGGTGGTGGTGGTGGTGGTGATGGTGATGATGACATTGATGAGATGATGATAATGATGATGATGATGACGGATGTGACGGTGACGGTGACGGTGACGTGACGGTGACGACGTGACGGTGACGGTGACGATGATCATGATGATGATAAAGAGGATAATGATAATGATGAAAATTAAATTCTTTAATATTCAAGCAGTGATGACAAAGAAAAAAATATTCGGTAAGCAGAGAAAAAAAAGGAAGCATTCATAATAAGACTAGAGAGAAAAAAGAACAGTTGATAACAATAAACTGATTGCAAGGATAAAAACTCGCCGCCTTCGCAACGCCGACATTGGGAAAAAGTTCGACGTGGCATTTCGCTCTATAAACAAAACTATTTCTGCGCGCTAGACGAAAGTTAGTAAATCCAAAAAATCGATCATCGACTTACACAACACAGGCTGTGTAAGTCTCTACGTTAGTAAATGACTTCAATGCTTTTATATACAATCCGTAAGAAATATGAGTCATTGCATACTTGAAATGAGTGAGCAATGGGTATTATGCACAGTCAGGCAAATTTTACAATATGCAGCCGATCAACAACAACTTATAACCGTTTAATATTGCAAATTTATCCCCGCGAAGTCAATATATACGAATAACTCATTTGCTACATACATCAAAGTGTCAATTGCAAAAGCCGGTTACTGCAGCGCGCCTGACATTCTAATCTCAAGGTTAATTCAATATAGATATGTTTCTTCTCTCAAAAAATACGAAATAGTTCCCCCTAAAAAAGATACAGAAAAAGAGGAAACCTAATAAAAAGAATTATTGGGCGTCGGCTGTGAGGCGCTGGACCAAAACAGTATATGTTTTGTGTATATTTCAAACTACGAGAATGTCAGCTGGGCTTTGTCGTTTGCCATTTTTCATTTCTCTATCAGAATCATTCTTCTATTTTTAGATTCTTTCTTCTTTTTCTTTGTGACAAACTAGCCAATGCCTTCTTGGACGATCGTGAATGTCGTGTGAAATATCGCCTCATTATCGTTATTATGCAATGATAGCAGTGCGTGGATGGCTGGTCACTCAAGCAAGGTTGAGCCGTGATGGAGTGCATGGACGGGCGAGCGAGGGGGGGGCTGTGGGGGAGGGAAACATGCAGAGAGAGCGATTAAACACGCAAAGCAAACGCAGGAGAGAGAGAGAGAGAGAGAGAGAGAGAGAGAGAGAGAGAGAGAGAGAGAGAGAGAGAGAGAGAGAGAGAGGAGGAGAGAGAGCGTTATAGAAAGAAGAAGAGTGAAAGAGGGATAAGAAAAACCTAGTGTGAAGGAGAGAAAAAAAGAGTAGAGCGCCATTAC